GCGAAAATAGTTACGGCAGCACTTCCTTCGCTTAGTGACGGAAGCGATATCAAGATTATTTGTCCTGGTCATTCAATATTCTCTGTCGTGAAGATAACTCGTGCAGAATTTCACGTGTGAGAAGCACGGAATTTAATGCCCGCCCGAGAGAATATACAGCTACAATTCGTAAACGTGTTAAAGCTTTCGATCGTTTTTCTTCCGATAATATCGAGCGAAGGTAAGTGGACTTGATTAAGAATGCTTTAACATAAAGCAGAATATACATATAAACTGGAAGAGGCATTGTATCATCTTTTTTACTTTGTTTTTTATCTCTCTCTCTAAGCCAAATTATAAAAATCGTAGCTTTTTAACCAATTTTTTTCAGGGAAGTATAAATAATATTCAAATAACAGAGGCGTTCAACCTTTGCATTTGTACGAAAAATTTTTAACATAATTTTTCGCTTTACTATTTGCTCCAAGTACTTCTCGTAATTTTCATTTAAAATATAAGTATATCGAATAAGGAAATGTGCTAAATGGGATTTATCTAAAATAGATTCATTTAAAAAAGTCTGTCAAATGTTTGTGATCAGAATTAACATCGTGTTAAAAAGTACCAAATGCATCTTGGAACGTGTAGCTGCCTAGCTGCGTATACTATTGATTAATATACTAATTTTAACGCGATCAATTAATAATATACTCGTCGTAAATGAAACTTCGACCATAGACATTTTGTTACAGACAGATTTTTCTCTCTCTTTCTTCGCACGCACTAAAAAAAAGATATAATAATAATAACCATAAAGGAGATGATTGTACAAGTTTCATATGGACAATTAATGTATATAATTTAATTAATGTTGAATAACTTATTGTTATGAAATATAATTTATTCAACTATGTACTCGCATTAATTCTACATATTAAACTTGTGAAGTTGTCATCTTTATAATGGCCATCATTATGTTTTTCTTATTATAAATGCAGATATATTCGGATGCAATTTTTTTACAAATATTTTATCGAACATAATGTTACCTACAGATCGTTACCATTCTCGTCTCATTCTTCGATTTTCACGGAATAACAACGTAAATTGTAAATAGTATGATTCTCGCGTTATTATTCAAAGGATGGTGCAATTAACGGGATAGAAGTTAACGAACCAATTAACGATGCGACCAATGTTCTCGTTTTAATTCTACTTTGATTCCATGCTCAAATACGTTTCTTTCCAGACAATTAACTATATATTTTTTTGAAAACTTTTTATTTTTGATCATTCCTCGTAAAAGAAAAAATAAAAGATAATTAAAGCATAAGAATAAAGATCCAGCGAAAGAGATTGTATTGATCATTCTGATTTTATAGGAATGATAGACGAACAGAGAATAACAGAGCGAGTCGAGCCAAGGTTGAAAGCTTCTGCTTCAAATAAGATGTAAAAACTGATGGGGTACGATCAGAATACAGATTAAATTGAGCGAAAGTAGGTCAGAGAGCGGGTTTCTGTGGTAAAAATGCGATTCACCCTGCGCGATCCCTTTCGTTCGTGCGGATATTATGTGCGTGGAAAATTGTGACGTTATAAAAGTTATTAATTATATATACTTAACGAAACGGTACGCGTGTAAAAATACAACGGTATAAAAATACTATCAAATGTAAATATTCGTAAATATATCATTATTCCAGTGATTAAAACATACCGTGTAATACTCATCACCGTTTTAATTTACGATGAAATGTATGTCTCTAAATTTGGAGGCATTATAATTAGGCTAATGTTATATTTCGTTCCGCCGACACACGACCGTATAATGCGTGTTATGCACGCGTCTCGAACATCCTGCGTAAAGGACTTCGATTCAGGTATCGTCCTTTTGCGATTACGACGCGACCGATCGCGCCTCAATGCAAAAACATGTCAAAGAAAAAAATAGACCGAGAGAAAAGAAGGAGAGGAAAGGAACAATGCGTCAATTAAATATCAGTACGTCAACAAGCTTCGCTCCAAGCTCGTTGAATGCAAGAACGTCTCGCGAGGGCTAATTTTGCATTATACATAGATACCGAGAGCAGTGATTGTAGACATATAAAGGTCAGACATTAAATATTTAACGTCAACGAAAATTTTTCATTGCGAACGCGTGAATGTGCTCAAATCTAAACATCACAACAGAAGACACACATGTTTTTGCACGTATATATGAGTATTGGTAAGTTCGTTTAGCCGAATGTTCTCAGTTTGAACGCGTTCCAACTATTTAGAAGGATAATTTGTATAGTTTTTTTTACCTAGAAATAGAGCAACCCATAAATATTAATTATAATTCCATATATACATATATATTCGTTCTTTATGTACCTATAGTCACTGTATCGGGTCACAGGAATAAATGTTTTTCAGACAGCGACGCATTTACTCGTGCGAAGCATTTACTCGTGTGACGCACAATGTGTGTATAAATATAGATATACTCGTACGAGAATAAGAGTAGTTTCTCCGATAAAAAAAATCTGACCAAACGCAGCGATAGGCGATCTATGAGAATGAAAAATGTTTCAAAGGTCATTAATTTCTGCTTCAGGTACATCGTTCTTACTTTGCACTTGCGACTGGTTCGAAAACGGGTCCATATTTTATTTATTACTAAATAAATACGAATAAATAAATACTGATTGTGTCGTAATTAAGGCTGTAGTTCAGCTCGTCAGTGTGCACGTGAACGTAAAATAAATCTCCGCTGGGAACGCGCCTTTCACGATATTTCCATACTCGCCGTTTATTTGTTGTTTATTCATTATTTCGACGAGTGAAAATCCCATTCGAGTTTGAATCGAATAGACGCTAGAAAATGCTATTACTATTCTTTATTTGTCACGTAAAGAATTACTTGTATAAAATAATCTAAAATAAAAACTGTAATGAGAAAATTGAAAATGTAAAATAAATACTTAACTGATTAAAATTATATCGATTAATATTCAAAGCATGGTTCACTTACTTTAAAATATTATATAAATGAACAATATATATATATATATATATATGCTGTTGATTTTTTTTATAATATGAGACGTAACATTTCGTTTTGATAAAATTAAACAATAAGATAATGGATTACCTTATCGCATCAAACAGTGTAAAAGTTTCAATGGAATAATGACAGGTAATAGTTAAATTGAGGTTTTGTTTGTATTATAAAATATGATGCTATCACAGCTGGTTTTATAAAAACAACGACTATACGTCACAGTCAAACGTGACAGCTATGGATATAAATCATATGATAGCCAGAGACACGTGCCCATACATATGAAATTCATGTGTGACTGAGGAAATTCTGGACAAGTTTTGAACGTGTGAATATTTGAATGTAAAAGTGACCCAATTCTGAATATGAATGTATGAATATGATCATACTGAGTTAAACTCACTAAGTTTTCCTATATCGATTGACGGTTACCGCAAAGAATACATACATGATTTCGGTCATTATTAAAATAATATTAACGCGATTATTACATTTTTCTCCTTCTCCTTCTTCTTCTTCACATTTATGAGATAGACATTCGAGAATTGCATTCTTA